GAATGGTTTTTGATATCGACCAAGTATCTACTGGCAAATAGACTAAACAAGTGGAAAATGGCTTTTCAGGGCTTGAATGAGTTAAACATAGGGTATGCAAGCCTGATGCATTGGCTAAGGTTACCCAAACACTGGGTTTTGGCTGAGCAACAGGAAAAAATGCATTGCTGAGGGTAAACAAAACAAAAGGACATAAACATGACATCAGATTCAACTCCATTTTCACAGTTCTTGTATGTAAAGCAAAAGGTGTTTGTCTTCTTCCATAGTCTCTCTGAAGTTCATGTTTGCGTGCTCACTTCCCTGCTCTCAGAATTGTCAGTGTGTTTCTGTGCCTGATATGGCTTTACATTCTTTGCTAGAATCCACTTTGGTCCTGAACCTGTGGAAACACAAGCATACCTCTTACCCCAGGTTATTAATGGACATGGACCTTCGCTCTGTCCCATTTCTGGGTTTCTGATGAGGACTAAAGGATTTTCTTTCAATTTTGCCTGTGTACTATTAGAAAAATGCCTAATGATTGATAAATCTGGTTCTGCAAAAGATCTGTTAGAAAAATTTAAAACATATAAGGCTTTAATTAAACACATCTGAGTCATTGTCTCTGTTTCCCCACTTTTCTGTTTATCCTGAAACACTAATCTTGAAGAAATTAGGATTTTAGTTAAAAGTTAGAAGAAACTGGGCTTGAGATAATTATCTGAAACTTAAATAATTGTTTGCCTGTCAATTTATGTTTGCTTAGCTGTGCTTGCAATTGGAAAGGATCAAACTAGTAGGTGGGTCCAAAGAACACAAACAATTGCAACCAGAAACTCATTCTTTGAAAAATTGGAATTGCCCCAAAAGCCATTTCTATTGTCATTGATAAAAAAAGTTGAGTTCAAGGCTAGGAACACTCGCCTTACTTCCTCCTTTTAAGACCCCTCCCCACAAAAACAACCCCACCTTAATTCAAGAGGCCAACCACACATGCTTAATAGCTATTCAAGCTAGTTACCATAGGAAGCAATGAATGGGAAGAGCTGTTATGAATATGTTTTTGTTTGAACCTTTTTTCAATAAATAGGCTCTGTGATCACCTGTAATTTTGCAGTGCATATTAGAGGATTACGGTAATTTCACGACTATAAGGCGCAACCTTTTGACAAAAAATTTTCCTCGAACCCGGAAGTGTGCCTTTTAGTCCGGTGCGCCTTATCTGAGCTACATAGTGGCAAAAGTTGCCAACCCGGAAGTGTGAGCTGCGGGGGGGATTGGCCCCGCAGCAGGGCCGGGCTGTGAGGGGGAGTGGCCCCGTGGGGCTGTGCCTGGCTGTGGGGAGGGAGAGGGGTCCTGCAGGGCTGTGCCGGGCTGTGAAGGGGAGTGGCCCTGCAGGGTTGTGCCTGGCTGTGGCTGTCTGGCAGGAGGAGTGGCCCCGCAGGGCTTTGCCTGGCTGTGCCGGGCTGTGAGGGGGAGTAGCCTCGCGGGGCTTTGCCTGGCTGTGGGGAGGGAGAGGGGTTCTCTGGGGCTGTGCCGGGCTGTGAGGAGGAGTGGCCCCGCGGGGCTTTGCCTGGTTGTGGGGAGGGAGAGGGGTTCTGTGGGGCTTCGCCGGGCTGGGAGGAGGAGTGGCCCCACGGGGCTGTGGCTGGCTGTGGCTGTCTGGGAGGAGGAGTAGCCCCGCGGGGCTTTGCCTGACTGTGCCGGGCTGTGAGGGGGAGTAGCCTCGTGGGGCTTTGCCTGGCTGTGGGGAGGGAGAGGGGTTCTGTGGGACTGTGCCGGGCTGTGAGGAGGAGTGACCCCGCGGGGCTTTGCCTGGCTGTGGGGAGGGAGAGGGTTTCTGTGGGGCTTCGCCGGGCTGGGAGGAGGAGTGGCCCTGTGGGGCTGTGGCTGTCTGGGAGGAGAAGTGGCCCTGCGGGGCTTTGCCGGGCTGCGAGGCGGAGTGGCCCCGCAGCAACACCGGGATGTGAGGGGAGAGGGGCTCTGCGGGGCGGGCCTGCTGGCATGGGGGTCGTCCCCCGCATNGGGGGGGGGGGGGAAGAGCCGTCGGCTTCAGGGCAGTGGTGGCACGGGGCGAGCCTGCCGGCATCAGGTCACCCAGAGCACCAGGGTACTCCCAGAGCAGCGGGGCCCAGGGCAGCGGCGGCGGCCGTGCCCCAGCCCTGGGGATGCTCCACGGAGCGGCGGCGGACATGCCCCGGCCCTGCGGACACTCCACGGAGCGGCGGCGGCCATGCCCCGGCCCTGCCGGGTACAGGCCAGCCCGGGGGCCCATGGCTGCCGGGTTGAGGCGGGGCCTGGGCCAGCAACCGTGAAAGGGGAGCTGGGGGCGGAGCCTCGCTGCAAAAAAAAAAGCGCACCTTATAGTCCGGTGCGCCTTATCTGATCTACATGTTGCGAATTTTGTTGACTGCCGGCCGGTGCGCCTTATAGTCTGGTGCGTCTTTTGGTCGTGAAATTACTGTACTTCACGCTGCTGCCCAGAGCTGAATAAATATACACTTTCTAACTTTAAACTGTTAGAGAGTCTTTTGTCCATCACAGTTGAGTATCGGTAATAGACCAATACTCATATTTTGGTAAATCAATCCAAGAGGGATTTCAGAGTATGATATGTTCTCTCAACGATTGCTTGACTTGTAGGAGAGTATGGAATGTCAAAGGTGTGCTGAACACCCCAATCCATTAAAAATGTGGCTTCCTTTTTTCCTGTGTAAGCTGGACCATTGTTTTTATTTTTTGAGGCACACCTAGCTAAGCAAATGCTTGCAAAAGATGGTGACAAACCTGCTTGGCTGTTTCTTCTGTATGCAAGGAGGCAAAACTGCACCTGAAAAGGTGTCTACTGTGTGGAGAATAGGGACATGCATGCGGAAGATATCGGGCTGTACGGTCAGTCAGAAACCCCCCACCCTTGCAGTCAGACCTTTGCCCTTCACCTGATCGCACCTAGCCGGACGTGAGCTGAAGGAAATGACACTGTGACTGCCCAAGCTATAAAAACCCTTGTGACCCCTCAATAAACGCCATTTGCNGTCCACCACGTTGGTGTCTGTGAGCAGATGGACCGAGTGACCCTGGGGTGGGTCACCATGCCGGTTCCTGGACCAGGTCGCCACGCCGAGTAAGGCAACACTACTGATACATGGATATTTTTGAATTTCCCAAAGGATGGATATTTCATGATATCTGTTTGCCATAATTGCAGGCTCTGCAGTCCTCATGGATTGACAGCTCCTGTGCATACAGGAGGTTGCACAAGCTGACAGGGCAAACATCTATGATTGCTTTTGCTTGATCTTTGGAAATACGAAACATTTATGTGAGTGCCTGTGTATTTTGATGAAATAAATGCATGACTCAGTTTTGCTTGTTCAAAGATGTTTGGCAAAGTATTCGCAATAATCATTGTTAATTTATCTACTCTTGCATTTCCTTCCACTAAGAATCCTGGAAACAAAAAATATGCTCTAATATGTGAAACAAAGTATTTTTTATTTCTCTGCTGTAAAATCTTATGCAAACATGAAAGGTAATGATACAAACTGTCATTATCAACATCCTTTAAAACTGATCCTTCTATTCTTTTGACTACATTAGCTGCATAAGCAGAATCTCTAATGAGATTAAAAGGCTCCTGTCTTGATACTTGGAACTGAAAAGGCAAATCAAGGAGCATCTTCTGGATGAAGTGGAAGGTTTAAAAAGCAATCTTTCAAGTTGATGATTGCAAGTGGCCACTCTCTTGGGATCATTGAAAGGGAAGGAAGTCCAGGCTCTAGGGGTCCCATATCTTCTATCACCTCATTAATTTTTCTGAAATAACAGAGCAATCTCCAAGAAGTTGAGGTTTTCATGTGTATGAAAAACACTGGAGAATTCCAGAGACTGTTGGCTTAATGTGGCCTTTCTGCAATTGTTCTTTCACTAATTTTTTGAGAACACTCAATTTCTTTTCTTCCAGGGGCCATTGGTCCACCCATACTGGGTCGTTCATTTTCCAGGTTAATTTTAGGGTATCGAGTGCCTCCATGACCCCAGTTAAAAATCCACTTCTATTTTTGCTTCCCATTGAGACAAGAGATCTCTTCCCCACACCGTGATGAGTTTTTGCACGACAAAGGGACGAATAGCTGCAGTCTTCCCTTCTGGCCCTGTAACAAGAATCATGTGTTTACTTTGCAAACACAAGGTAGCTCCTCCAATCCTTGTGAGGGAGTTCAAAGGTGTTATCAATTTCCACTCTTTAGGCCACACATAAGAAATAACCGTAACATCTGCACCAGTATCCAACATGCCTAAAATTGTAATTGTCTTGCTATTGTATGTCAAGTTGCAGGTTATCTGGGGTTGATCAGGGTCATTGTGCTTTATTCAAAGAACAGCAGTCTCCATGTCTGCACCTTCAGACAACACTTACTGATCTCGTATTGGCATGACTTGTCCTGTTGTGTGAGCTAGTAAAGCAATTGCCTTGGCAATTGGGGTATTCTCTGAAATTACCAATTGTGGGCTCAGAGCCTGAGCTAAACCTGTAATTCTTCATTACAATTTGTAAAAACAAGGGGCAGATTAATTATGAGTCCCAAAATACTGCTTCTGTCTTTACCTATAATCAAGAATTCTAGTGTTATGGGCTCTTTTTGGGGTTTCCCAAGAGAGTTTTCCCGTCTATATCTGTCTTGGAGTGACATTGACTTGTGTTATGTTTCCCTCTCCTGCATCTAGGACAGAATTTAAGTGGTTTTATATTTTCTGCAGGCTCTGAGCAGTATTATATGTCCAGGCTTCCCACATCTGTGACATGTTCTGGTGATTTCTGTCCGCATTATGGTCATATAATTGTTCTGTTGAGGAGTCACATTAACAGAAGCGAGGACTTTTATAAGTCTTTGGTCTGCCACTTCACTATGAGCTGAAAAAGCTTTCAAAAACCTCTCTCCTAATGCATTTGCTTGTATCATTGCAATATGCTGTGGAGTACCTATCCTGCTGTAAGCAAGGCTAGCTCAGCTAGCATCCAGCTAGCTCAGTCGGTAGAGCATGAGACTCTTAATCTCACGGTCGTTGGATCGAGCCCCATGATGGGTGCCAGTTGTGGGCTTATTGCTCCCACATTACACCTTCTTGCAGGGATTTTTTGTCTCTGCATGAAGCAGAGACACGAGATTTCTGGGTAGTTTTAGAAAGTGCGGTTTATTTTTCTTATCTTCTACACAGTCAGAAAGGGTGAGTTCGTCTTACAGATGTTCACACCGTGGCTCAGACGTCTCCAGACTTATGACTGCAAGGTCTTTTAATGGATTTGATAATCAATAAAACACTGCCAACAGAGATATTTATGTTCCTACACCAGTACTAAGATATTTCGACTTATTGACTCATACTTCAGTGTGAACTTTCTTAGCCAATCACATCATGACACACAAACTTACATTGCTGCACTCTAAAACTTCTTGTTACCTTTGTAACTACCTTTATTTTTTCTATATCTTAAACTCTAAAGCTAAACTTATCTCAACATGTCTCTGCTTTAAGCTATAAATCTACATTCTTGATCTTAGCACCTAAATTTGAAAGCCTTTTCCAAAGTCTCAGATCAAATCCTGTGTTTAATTCTAAGCTTTGGTTTACAGGTCCAATGTTCTGAGAATTCCTTGCATTTTGATTTCCAACAATCAAGTCACTTTGACTTGTAAATTTGTTCTTATAAAAGCTGAACTGTCTTTTTGATGTAAACTTGGAAGCCTTCTTCCAGAAAAGGCTATCCAAGTCCATCTATGACAGACCTTGGGTGAAAGGTGAAGCATTTAGGCATTCGTAAGTAATTTTTTTTAGTAGTGCTTACTGTTTTGTTAGATGTATTGTCTTACTGTTCATAATAAGTGCATGTTATCTGAATTTAATAGGTTAGACTATGTTCTTGTTATAGTTGTTAAGACTGAAAACAGAGGTGAGTACTGATAACCTGTTCAACTACCACAGCAAACAACTTATTTGCCTTGATATAAACACATCCAAATGGTACCATACAGTGGAATTAGAATCAACAACTGGGAAAATTATTAGCCTGCTTGCTCAGTTCTGTGCTCTTTCTGCATTTTCTGTTTCAGTGTTTAAAAGTAGAGATGCAAATGTAAAAAATCAAATTTAAAATGCCTACAAATATGCATTTTTGATTGACTAGTGCTTGCCAGGTCAAAGCCTGAATGAACATTAAAACCTTTTAAATTATCCTGTTTAAAAAAACATTGCACTCCAACCTGACACCCAGCACTTGTAAACTTAAGGCTTCTTAAAGAATTGACCAAGATACCATAATCCACTGAATTTTTATCAATGAAACCGATTAACAGAATTTTACTCAGTATTAATCTCAACTGCACAACCTATTTACAAAACTGTAAGCTACTATCACCAACTCACCACAACCAGACATACAGACACAGGTAAAATGTGCCTTTATAAAACAGGGAGGGGGAATGTGTGGTAAGACCCCAGAGAATAGTGGTTAAAGCTATCTATACTGTAAACCATTTAACAGTATCAGAAAATTCCCAGAATCCAGTAATACAGGTAACATCAGGTTGGTGAGTGGTCACAAGCAGGGTTCTGTAGGCTCCATGCTCGGCCCTGTGCTCTTCAACATCTTCATAAATCACTTGGACACAAGACTCACGCATACTGTCCTAGTTACAGGAGTAGGGTGCCAGTTTAGTCCTTCGTAGGTCTTTGTAGGTGTAACCAAACTGTGCATTTTATCCCCTCTATGTGATTTCTGAGCTGTTAATGATGGATTGTTTTCAGTAGCTTCCCAGTGCATACCTGATACCTCAGTCTACAAGATGGGTGTTAAATGAAATAAGGAAAAAGGGAAACCCTTAGTAGCAGGGTAATATTTCTTTTTCTTCACACAAATGATTCAGCTGTGGTAACTCCCCTCCCAGGAAGCACCGGAATATTCACACCCAGCCTGAGGGGTCATTTCTTCTAATGGGTCATAATGGACTCAATGGCACTAGCATAATAAGAAGCTGCAACGCTTTAGACCATCAAAGACTCCCAAAATATCCCATGACTCACAGTGTTACATCATCCATTGTGAAAATCCCCACCCTGGCGGAGGTTCTGAGCATTTCCCACTTGAATCTGAGCATATATAATCTTCGGTCTTGGGGACTTCTGGCATCACTCGATGGATCCAGAGTACAGTAATTTCACCACCATAAGGTGCACCAGACTATAAGGCGCACCCCCCGGGAGTCGGTAAATTTTGAAACTTTGTAGATCATATAAGGCGCACCAGACTATAAGGCGCAATTTTTTTTTGCAGCGAGGAGCCGCGCGGAGCACAACAAAGTAACAAATTACTGGCAGGTGCCCAATTTGCAAACATTTTTCAAAGATCAGTGTAGCCTTTAAACGCAGCCCCAAGTGTCCTCCCCATGCATGGGGCCTCGGCACTCCCACCCGCCCCCGGTTGGCGAGGCAGGGCTCGGGGCAGCCGCACCTGGCAGCTGCCCCACTTTGGGGCAGCCACAGCTCACACCTCGAGGTTACTGCAGTTCAGGGGGGCTTGGGGCCGCCCGTGGCTTGGGGAAGTGCGGGGTGAGGCCACCCTCAGCTCGGGGCCGCCCTGGGCTTGGGCCGCCCTGGGCTTGGGCCGCCCTGGGCTCGGAGGCGGCGTGGGGGGGGTGGGGCGCCCACTCCCTCCCACCCCGCGCGGCTCCCCCTGGCCGGGGGTTGCTTGGTCCTGCCCACCCTGCACAGCTCCCGCTGGTCAGGGGCTGCCCACATCCGCCCGGTCCCACCCATCCCGCGTGGCTCCTGCTGGCCGGGGGCTGCCCGGTCCCACCCACCCCTCGTGGCTCAGCTCACGGCTTGCACTTCCAGGTAGGCAAATTTCCAAACTTTGTACATTATATAAGACTATGTGGTACTGGAAACATTGCCTGGGTGCCAGGCAACCACCAAAACTGCTCTATCACTCCCCTCCACAGCTGGGCAGGAGAGAATGAATATGATGAAACATTCACGAGTCAAGGACTGGAAGAGATCATTAACCAAATTCCATAATGGGTAAAACAGTCTAGAATTAGTGATATTAGTAGAATTTATTACTAACAAAATCAGAGTAGGATAATGAGAAGTAAAGTAACAACTTAAAAACACCTTCCTCCCACCCCTCCCTCCTTCCCAGCTCTACATCCTCACCCAGTGGTCCGGGGAGACAGGAAATGGGGGTTACAGTCAGTTCACCACACGTTGTTCCTCCTGCTCAGGGACAGGAGTCCCTACCCTGCTCTAAGGTAGGGTCCATTCCATGGAAGACAGTTCTCCAACAAACTTCTCCAACGCCACTCTGTCTTGCAAGCAACACTTTTCCTCAAACTGCTGCATCATGGGTGACTCTTCCACAGGTTGCAGTCCTTCAAGGACAGGCTGCTCCATCATGGGTCTCCTCCAAGGGCTGCAGGTGGATGTCTGCATCCCCCATGGACCTCCATGGGCTGCAGAAGGACAGCACCTTCTCCCCCTCTTTCTCCACTGACCTTGGTGTCTGCAGAGTTGTTCTTCTCACATGTTCTCAGTACACTCTTACCTGGCCGCAATTAAAGCTGGTAATAACTTTTTTTTTTTTTCCTTCTTAAATATGTTATCACAGAGGTGTTACCACCATTTCTAATTGGCCCATTCTTGGCCAGCGGCAGGTCCATCTTTGGAGTTGCCAGGGATTGGCTCTGCCAGACATGGAGGAAGCTTCTGGCAGCCTCTCACAGAAGCCACCTCTGTAGCCCTGCCACTATCAAAGCTTGGCCTTCGAGGAAGTCAACAGCTCCTTCCAATTTAGTTTCATCATCAAATGTAGTATTTGTGCTGGTTTAAAAGTAAACCAGCAGGAGAAATGACCCCCACTCAACTGCCTCAAGAGAGATTACAGGTCAGAGTTAAAATTTACTGAAGAGATTACAATAAATAAAGTGATACAGAGAAACTGGTTTTAAAACACACATGCTGAGTATAACCTGGCACCCTGCTGGTCAGAGTGATGGTCGCAGTCCTATCAAGTGGTGGTCACAGTCCCGTTGAAGTAATGGTTGCAGTCTTGTCGAAAGCAGTGGTTGCAGTCCTGTTGAAGTTCTGGTCCTTGTAAGTCTTCAAACAACTAGCTGAAAGGGGTTTACAGTGTTTCACGTACTCTGGGTTAGACAAATTGGTGAAATACTGAAAAGATATTCTCAAGAGGTCCAAACAAAAGTTTATTAGCAAGTCATAGAAAAATCAGGGAACTTTGGCAAAAGATTTAGTACAACATCCAATCAACATGAAACACTTCTCACAACATTAATTTTACCCATTCAACTCAGTAAACTTTTAACCTGTTTGATGTTAAGTTACTCAAAATGTTCCAAGAAGAGGGAATTAAAAGAAGTAGCAAGACAGAAAGACAGAAAATATAGAGAAAAGCACACATGTAGCTACCAACTCCTGGGTTCCAGCAGTGTTCAGATAGAAACTCCAAGATAAAGATAGGGTCAAGATGTGCTGAAGATATGGGAAACACATGCGCATACCATAATTCAGAATTTTAGAAGCATATAATGGGCTTAGGTAGGTGGAGGGGAAGACAGAAATATATAGCTTATTTAGCAATTTTGTAAAAGTAGAGAAACAATTTGTAATAGAACATATAGGAACGCAACTTGTTAGGTAGAAACAACTTGTAACGAAAAACATAAAAATTTAGTTGCTAGGTAAAGGCCATAAAGAGAAGTAGTATATTATGAAAACTCATTAAAGCAGAACTTAGGTATTAGGTATTGTGAAGAATCGATACAGCAGAATCTGAGGATTGATAAATCAGCAAGAAACCTGTGGCTCCTGGTTTTGGCCAGGACAAGCTGACCTGGGAACTAGCCAAATCCCCACTGCACCTGTCAGAGATGGGCTCAAACAGCAGACACCTGAGGAAGATGTCTTTACTTCATCAGAAGACCCATGACCCCCAGGAGGCATGGCACTGCAGAAGAGTAATTATGATATGAATCACCAGGAGGCAAAGAAGGGACTGGGATGGGTAGGCAGGGAGGTGT